GAGCGCAGACAACGGAGTGATTGCCCACGTGCGCTTCATTGACATCGATACTGAAATGAAGGGAAATGTGGAATTCGACCCAAATTCCGAGTTTGGACTTGTCGTCAGACTCATTATCGGCGCTCTCACAAAGAACTGTCTTACGGGTATCAGTATCGGCATCAGGATCAAGATGTCTATCGTGCTAAGTCTTCTGCAAAACCAGCATTCGCTCGAAGTACTTGGACTTCGAAGTATCATTCCCGATGAAGGCGCCGTTCTCAATATGAGTCTTGCAACACATGGTTCTTGGATTACACCCATACTCGGCAACATCCGGAGGCTCCGAATTCCCCTCTCCGTTCAGGATCCCCACGCATACGAGAATAGTGCCTACCTTCTCAAGAGCACACCAAACCTACGGTCATTATGCCTCAAAGGCGCAAGTAAGGCTGCCTCACTTCTGGACGACTTGCATGAGCACGATGTTTTCGGAGGGCCGTATACTGAGGAGGCAGCTATCCCGACTCCACAGCTGCGTACCCTGCACCTACTATGGCTAGAATTCAGGCCATACCCCGCATCTCTTTTTAAATGCATCAACTTCTCTAATATTCGCATCCTCTATATCACCCAATGCCGCAATACCGAAGCCTTCCTCACTGCTCTCGTCGCAGCAGTCCCGCAAGCCACCGCGCTGAGAGAGTTAGAGATATCACTAAGACGTAAGGGGGTACCGCTAGACAGGGACACACGAGCAATTGAGGCCCTGGTGTCTTCCGCTCCCTCACTGGTGAAGGTGTGGTTAGATGTGGGTAGGGGGCGTGCGGTCGACGTATCGTGTTTGAGTGGACAAAGCAAGTCCTTGCGGCAGCTGACTCTGGCGGCTTCATCCAAATTGCAACCACCGGCCCACTACACCGTCTCCGACCTTGCTAAAATACTCGCTCAGGCGCCTCAGTTAGAAAAGCTGGCATTGAACCTCTGTCCGGTCAGTCTTGGCCCTGTACAGTACCTAGCTGCCAAGTTCAAGTTGCCTGCGCAAGCTGGTGAAGAACACGGTGAACTGACGTCTTATCTGGTATGTATTCACCCTTGGGCAGAGAATGGTTGCTCACCAAAGAATCAGGACTGTATCGCGAGACACCGAAGTCTCAAATCACTGCGCATACTCACAGTTCCCTACATCGATTGTGGGATAGTGCCAAATCCAAGTTTCCAGGACCGTGTCACTCTCACGGAAGATTATGTTCACACCTCGCAGGTGATAATGCAAAAATTCGCGAAGGAAGTCTTTCGCTACCTCGCCTAACATACTCTTGTATCTTACCTATAGCTATTATTACCTGTATAATTATATATTCTATAATATATTTTATTTACTCTAGTATAAAGTTCTATACTTATTTTTACTATTTAAAATAGCTTAAATACTAACTTATATTTTAACTTATACTTTATAAAAAGTAAAAAGTATATTATTAAGCAGAAATCCAAATCTTAAGTGGTAACACTCGTAGCTCGAAGAGCTACTAATCCTAAAGAGGCAAGGACCGTTGCCAGTACTCCAAAGAACGTATAACCAAATCTTTTGCCCACTCTCAGAGGTGCAGCGTCAAGCGAGCCGAGGCTTAGGGCCTCAGCGCTGCCGCCTCCAAGGCGGTCAAAGCTTCTAAATCTTTTGGGCCTGCGAGGCAGCCGTCCCAACACCCCGCGAGGGGATTACAATACCAAATACCTCATAAGGGGACCCTATGAGGGGATTACAATCCAATTACACGCGCTCGTCACTAACAGAGCGATGTATCCCAAAGCTCTATGGTCGGGACACGTATGCTGAAATCTCTCTTAGCAAAAGCGCGCTCCTCCTATCCTGCAAGTTACTACTCTCAGGAACCTAAAGATACGTTAAAGACGCAAGCAGCTCGAATCCGACACTAAACGCTGCGCCGGCACGTTAAACAATTTGATATATATTATATAAGTAATAATAATACTAAAGTAGTTACTTTATATACTTTACTTTTAACTTATATAGTTATTATATATATAAAGTTATACTTTAGAACTATTACTTTTATTTTATAGTATACTTAATAACTTATTATAATAAGTAACTTATAACTTCTAAAATTTATATATACTTATATAATTAGGTCTTCTTAAAAAGAGAAGTATTGTTAACACAAGAGCTCGCCTAACATAGATCCAAACTCAGAACCTTGGTCGTCTCACCGGACGGTTTGGACGGCATGGAGCGGCCTAGCTTCGACGATGATGGCCACCGATGGCCGCGATACTTCTACTCACGTGGATCAGTCTGGAGTATACGCGGAGAGCACGTTGTAGCCGTTCCGGTACACATGGCGGATGTTGAATTCTGCGATCGCGCCACCAGGTAAGCGGCCAAGGACAGACGTCGTTGGCACACAACCACGCAGGTTCAAGGTATGCAAAAAGTTCAGAATGCTGTCAAAATATTAGCGATACTTGCAGGGGGTATAGTCGACGGGAGCAATAAGCGACCGGAATGAACTTGATAGCTAGTCTAAACTGACCACACACATGAAACAAGAAGCTCCTCAAACCACTGTACCATCAAACCAAATCCAGATTTTCAAGCCCCTCCACGAGCATACATTGCCTCTCCTGCTCTTCAAAGTTGTCCAAATGCTCGTATGTAGTCGCCACGCGCTCATCTGCCAAGCCCAGCACTTCCCGCCCCTCCGCTTTCATCTCACTGCCATACGCCAAACCAAGTATCTCCTGCTCCTCAATCTTCATCTCACTGTCATACGACAAAACCAGGACTTCCTGCCCCTCCATTTTCATCTCACCGTCATTTGCCAAACCCAGCACTTCCTGCTCCTCCACTTTCATTCCGTTCTTACGCGCCAACTTCCTCATCTCCCTCTCAATCTTCCTTATCTCCCTTTCTGCCTTATCTTTTATCCTCCTCGCTTTCGCCTTCTCCTTCCTCTCCTTCCTCCTCTGGTTGATAGCCTGCCTGGCCTGAACCCTAAGGTCACGGCTCAACTCTCTTCGCGGCAAAACCTTTACATCCTTGAACGCAGCAGACAGCCATCCACGCATAAAGTCTTCTCCCGCACCCCCCGTGACGAGTCCTCCGTCCAGTCTCACCGGCGGGAAACCAACGCTCCGATCGAGTAACTCCGGCGGGTACTCAGCTAAAGCAAGCTTCTTGAACCGCTGCGAGGCGCCTCGCACGCGTTGCTGAGGTTCTATCCTGGAGAGAGGAGGCAACCAGTGAAACTCTACTTCCACGCTCTTCTCAGCTAGTTGCTTGGTGAGACGCGGTATATCGTCTACAAGCCATCTATCCCTCACCAACCCGAACGGATGGCCCATCCTCATACTCTTCAGGATACGTTGCACATCTGAGAAGACGAGCACGCGGTCGATGTGCTCGGTTATCGTGGGAGATGCGGCGACGCGGAGCGCTTCGCCGATGGATAGTAGGATGGCCTCGTTTGCGTTGGTGTAGTGTGCGACGGTGACTTGGGCGGTCCAGACGGAGGTTACAGGTGAGTTGTAGCCGATTGCGACAGCGCAGGGTTCGTTGCGCAGGCCACCGCTAACGCTGCTGTTGATCCAGAGGACGAGGGTGCGATCGGGAGGCTGGGTGGAGATGGTGCGCGCAAAGTCTGTGGCTTGGGCTTTGGACTTGATGTGAATTGATGTCGCGTAAGTATATTTGTCAGCGCATCGAGGTTTCGAAGTAAAATGATCGATGAGCGTGGTGTCAGAGTTGGCTGCAGGAGCTGGGGATGTCATGTCGGTGTCCATGGCGTGGAAGTGCTGCAGGATGTTGCTTTACTGAGATACCAGCGGCGGTGACTGACGACAGAGTCTTTGTGGGGGTTGCGAAGATGATATGTCGGAAGCTCTGCAAAGGCAGTTACTCGAAGTGCTACTCAAGTAGGCTAGTGACAGAAGTGGAAGGCGCCACTCACACTCGAATGAATGGCTGGACCCTGGTTTACAATCTTACTAGGTACTGTGGGTCCACGGTACTCCGAGTAGAACTCATACGTCACCAGCAGCCTACACCAGAGCAATCACCTTCTATATGAGTTGCGCGAGCCGTGAGTGGCTGGGCAGATAGTTAATTGTGGATCTTCACAGAAACACTGGATGACAGAGGACCTGGGAATACCCTTCGAGAAACAAAGCACACGCGATTCAAGGGCAAGTATTCTTGTGTTCTGGCTGATCTCGTGATGATCGGATTGCAATGACCTTGCGTGGTACTTTGGGTGTCAAGAGCGAGTATGGTGTACATTGTGCCAAAAGTATGCCTCGCGCATATTCGATGCAACTGCTAAGCTCGATTGGTATACAGTGAACTTGCATTAAGGAATCCGGGTTCTCGGTAGGTGTGGGCATTTCCAACAGCACTGCATCTTCCATAACGCTAGCAAATACTTACACTCTTAATCTGTATAAGAGCGTGCACAGATCCATGTACACCACATTCATCGTTCTGCCATGTACATCTGAAGTTTGTGGTAACTTACATCACAATGCTGCACAACCTCCCGTCGCCTTCGCGCTTCGTGACACAGGGCCACCACAGTGAGCATAACAGCACATCATCATTGTCCTGTCTACTACTTTCTTTCTCATTCGCGTTCTTGTTACAACTATAGACTTGAATCAGCTCACAAGTGCCCAGGTGAAGGACAATCAAGAAGTCCTCGTGTGTATATATATCTGCTATAATTGTCCCCAGAGTTTGTCTGCATAAACACTACATCACAAGAGCCTTTGATAGATACTTCTATAGTATATTTACCACTTACAAGTCAAACACATCCTCAGGTATCTCCAATACCTCACACCAGAGTTCAGCAGGACTGAAACCCAACACAACCACGACCACAACCACAACCACAACCACATCCCCAACCAGCCCCCCACCCCACCCCCCAAACATGTGCCAAATGGTCCTAGAAATCTGTCCCCTCTGCAAATTATGCGGCCCATTGCACAGGCCCTACATGAAGGTGAGTTCTGACCGTACGAAGTGCATGTGAGACATATACTGACTTCGTACCTCTATCTCTGCAGGAAAGACACTGGCACGAACCCTGTGCAGCCGCAGCAACAGCGGGCCCTTGTCGCAACCCCCCCGAAGTGAACAGGCAGGGTAACAATGTATGCCGACGCTGCATCAACCTGGCTAATGAGAAGAGGAAGGACGATGACAAGAAGAAGAAGGATGACGATAAGAAGAAGGACAAGGATAAGAAGGCGCAAGACAAGGTGGACAAGGCGGTGAGGATGAAGGCCTGGGCTAAGAGCAATAAGGCGGAGAAAGATGCTATTAAGAGGTTGGGATAGGCGCTGAGGAATGAGGAAGTGCAGGGAGGCGGGAGGGATTGGTTGTTATTCACGGTATATATTCATTTGGCGGTTTCATGGGCGGGGCGAATACCGGTGGGTGTCAGAACTGTTGTGTATAGTAAATTAGAAATGAGAAAAACATGTTGAGCGATTGTAGTACCTTTCGCACTATACCAGGTCAGGGCAACAGGGTAAACCCTCAACGTCAAATAGCACAAACACCGAAACACCAAATGTGAGTCTTCATAATCTTCATTGCATGTCATAGCACGTATGCCTTCAGGCCCTGTCCTGTATACCACACCCCCAAGTATTCCCAGCTTTTGACTCCCGCTTCCCATCGCTACCGTGGAGAGATACAAATACAAAGCGGAGCAAATCAAATAAGATGCCACCCCAGAAAAAAGCAAGAGAGTCGTGCCCATAGGGCTTTGGGGGGATGAAAAGACACAAAAGACGCTCGCCGTGCTGGAAGGTATGCACAAGACTGCAGAGATGGATGGAAGGAAATGCTAATAAAGCGCGACGCCTTCGAGACTGAGGTATGAGTTTGGATTGGCAGGTCCTCCCGCCCACTAAGCGGCAGGCTGGGCACCAAACTCAGCGCCGCCGCGACCTCTGGGTGCGCCACGGCCGCGGTAGCCGAAGCCCCGACCGCGTCCGCGTCCACGGCCACGTCCTCGACCACCCCGGTAGCCGTCAACACTGCCCTGGCCAAAGGTCTCCATGTTCTTCTGGCGCTCCTGGCTCCTGAACTCTTGACCACGGGTGGCCGCCTCTTCTCTGTCCTTTAGCTCGCTCGAGATGTTGTCGAAGAAGGAACTCTTGTCGTACATGGATCCACCAGGGATGACGACCTCTTCCTTCTCCGCGGAAGCCTCGCCAGCAGGGACTGCCGGGGCATCGCCCATCGGGGATCCAGACGCGATGGCTTCCTTGACCAAGTCCTGCTTGTTGAACTTTGCGTTGGACGACTCAAAGTCGAAGTCGGTTGTGGGCACTTCCATCTTGGGGTGTTGAGGATGAGCACCACCTCGTCCTCCTCTTCCGCCCCGACCACGGAACTCTCCTGTTCCTCGTTGGCGAGGCTGGTGCTGGCGGCTTTGCTGTTCGCGCATGCCCTGCACCTGCTGTGCCAAGTTGTTCATCGGGTCTGAGACAGGCGGTTGACCCTGCGGTTGACCTGGTGCCTGACCCTTGTTTTGGAGGTTGAGCTTGGCCATAGCCTCGGCAACAGCAGCAGTTGCTAACTGAGTAGCGTTTTGTTGCTGGGCAGCGGTGGGCATTTGTGCAGGAGCGGTAGAGGGACCGGTACCTTGCTGTGCTTGAGGCGCCGCCTTCGTCGCCCTTGGGCTTGGGATCGGTACAGCGGGAATGATTCGACCACCCTTGGGTCCGCTTGGCGCACCCTTCGCGGGTGGTTGGCCGTTCTGGGGGTGGGGTGGTGCCAACGCAGCCGATACATCTGGCTTCGAGTCGACTGGTGGCGGGGGAGCCTGCTTGCCTGCTGCTGCTGGTGATGCCTTCGCGCCGTTCTTGGGTTGTGGCTTGGATGATGCGCCGTCTGCCTCTGCTACCTTCGGTTGCTGGACCTGACCTGGCTTCTCATCCTTGCCTGCTTGAGGACCCTGAGGACCCCGTGGGCCTTGTGGAGGTTGGTTCTGGTTCAGGCCGGGAGGGCCAATGGGCATGTTAGGCGAGAAGGGCCCAGGTGGCTGCTGGAAGCCGTGACCAGGAGGGAACCAGCCAGGAGGCGCTCCGAATGGAGGCGGCGGCATGCCAAACGCGCCTGGTGGACCCCCTGGGAAAGGACCTGGACCACCAGGGAAACCACCTGGAGGACCGAATCGGTTTCCATATGCACCACCGGGGCCGCCAGGACCACCGAACGGAGGGTATCCGCCAGGCGGGAATTGACCTGGCTGAGGAAAGTTCGGCGGTGGTTGTTGACGACCGGCGATATCTTGTGGACTGCCATCTTGCCGCGACTGGGGTTGTTGTACCTGTGGCGCATGCGTCGCGTCAGCTTTGGCTTCGTGAAGTATGTAGAAGAAGCAGGTTGGGTATAGGGATCTCAGAAGGAAGGCAACGGAAAATATCCACACGGTTTTGCGCTCTCGGTGGTTTAAATGATTTACATCCGAAAATTTTACATCATCGAAAAAGAAAAGAAAGGGTGGTTGTGTGGACTTACTCCGATGATGGCTGGGTCCTGCGGCATGGCAGGCTGAGCCTTCTCCTTGACAGGCTCTTCGATGCGCAGATCCTTCACATCGCTGCCTCGGAAAACAATTTGCTCGTACACGACGTCTGACGGTGGGTATTCGTCTTTGCCGCCCTTGCGGCCCTCTGTGCCAAAGGAGCGCACATTGTCTAATGAGACTGTGGAGGCTTCTGAGTTGATCTCGACGAGGGTACCGACATAGCTGGGGGCTGTTAGTCGCGTCGCGCAATGCATTCACGCGATGGAGGACTCACCGGATGTCACTCTTGGAGATGAGAGAAATGCGAGATCTACGCGTCCGACGTCAGCTGGAGCTCCAGCTCGAATTGGAGAGCTGCGACTAACCCGATGAACTCGGACATGGCTGTGTAACGTGGGTATCAAAACGGGTATCGAAGGAATTGAAGCTCAATGAACAAGAAAAGAAGGCGGGAAAGTGGTTGGGAAGGGTGCAAGTGGTTGGTGGAGGAGTGAGGGGTGAGAGAAGGTTGGAGAGCTCCGTGGTCGTGGGCTGAAGCTGCAGAAACTTGGCGCACGTTTAGCGAGGCGTAGTCTGGAAGCTTGGAGCCTCGCTTATCCACCTGGCACCTCGGGCTGCCTTTACCCCACACGTACCACCGTTGCAGTCTTCGTCGGGTTGCAACTGCACCCATGCTTTGTCACCCATGAACTTGTGGACATTTGACCCTTGAGGTCGTGAATTGTATCACCTTCCCAATCTTCACTTTCTCCTAGGGCTCTCAGCTGCCCAGGCCTTCGCTATGAGCGTTACCGACGACGGGCTAAACGACATCTATGAGGCTCTGGATCGCTACAACTGGGACGATGACATCGAGTTCCAGGCCGGTCTGCAGGCCATCATCGGCAGCAACAGCACGCCAGAACAGACGACCGAGCTGGCATTACGGGCGCGGTGTTTCTACTATGCGAGGTACGATTAATACTCGAAACAGGCTCAAGCTTCAAGAGAGTCAATTACTAACACCCCACAGAAAGTACAACAAAAACATCGACTTCAACGCCTACAAAGCCTACCGCAGCGCCCGCAACCGCCCCCCACCCACACCACCAACCCCGCACAACGTCCTCGCCTCCTCCGTGGTGGACGAGATGCTTCCCGCCGGCACCACACCAAACGCATCCACAACAAGCCTCCCCATAACCAGCGACCTCCCTCCAAGCAGCTCGCCAAGCGGCATCATGCCCCCACCCACAACCACAGCCGAACCACCCGCACCCTACCCCACATCCTTCGCCCACATCGTCGAATTAATCACAAGCGGAAAGCCCGTGCCGGGTATCAAAGAGATCCCGCCGACGGTACTGGAAGGCCAAGGCACGGAGGCTAGTAAGCCAAAGAGGAAGAAGCCGTGGGAGAAGGATGGGGCGTGACGTCCCCCCTCCTATCAAATACAGATTCCAGTATCGGGTGGCAAGTAGAAAGTATGGCGCCGTCATTGCCAAAAGGAGATGGAGACATTCCATGTATGCCCTCACCGCTTGCTTGGTTATCGGATGGTAGTTCGACATGATCAAGTTTCGCAACCGCTCTAGGCAAGTGTCCAGATACTTGCCCAGAGCGGTTGCGAAACTTGATCATGTCAACCCAATGTGCCCATTCAATATCTTATACAGAACTACCATCCGATGGCCCAGCAAGCGGTGTGTAAATTCGAATCGTAATTCAGCGTGGTGCGTGCGGAAGAGGTATACATGGGATGGTTCTAGGATGGATTTAGCGCTGTAAATGCCAATAACAGCAAGAATGTCCCCCCTTACCCTGGAATGTACATACGAACATCAAGTACAAGTAGAAAGTGTGGCTTCGTCGCTGCCAGGGAAATGGATGACTTTTCATGTGTACTCCTTCCGGCCGTGTCTTTTGTTCTTGGAAGACTTCTATTGTACAAAGCTGCGTATAATGGAGATTCCAACATCAAAAGATACGAACGGAAGGGGTACAGTCGGAATGGTTATTAAGGGCGTGTCTATGCTATAGCTGTAGAAAACCAAGAGAAAATACACATGCAGACGTAATTGAAGGTGCGTGGCAGAGGAAAACGTGATCAAGATACAACGATACTATGCATATAACCCAAAGACAACCTACACGCTATGCTACCTACATCCAAGATTTTCCCCTTCCATATTTCCATTCACACCCTTCCCCTATCATCCCCTATCATCCCCAATCCAATCCAATCCAAATCCCATTTCCAATCCCATCCATAGAGTAAGAATACCAAACAGCAAACTGGGGTATATAGCAGATCCAACCTCCCAACCTTAACCCAACCTAACCTTTCCATCCAATATACGCCCAATATACACAAACATTAAATGAGAACATGAACATCAACCCACCCTATGATTTGCCGACATGAATGAAACAAACGTCTCCTCCTCTTATAGCACAGCCTCAAGAATGCGATCTTTGAGGGTCTTGACCTCCTCTTCCCTCTCCCATAACCGGCGCTGCATGTCTAGGAACTTGGCTTTCCAGGCCGCGGGCGTCATTTGACTTGCCCCAGCACCCTCTCGATCTAATGCCGCTTCGCCATCTCCTCTCCTCTCTGCACTTCCGTCCTCGCTACTTTCGTTTCGAATTTCCAGGCCTTTAGCAACCCACTCCCCAGTCAACCCACCAAAGTTCACAGCGAAGAAAACGTCAAAGGTTTCTTTGATGCGACTACCGCCTGAGTTGCCAGGGTGAGACCGTAGGTTATCGCCGGTGGTATCGCCATCGTCGTCGTCGTCGTCGATAGGACTTTCA